ATGAAATGATTTCCACAATCTCATCACCTGATATAGTTGCTTTTTTTTGTGGTGGTGAGAACACTTAAGGTCCACTCTCTTAGAAAATTTGGAGTATACAATACAGTATTATTAACTATAGTCATTGTGCTAAACATTAGATCTCCAGAACTTATTCATCCTTCATAACTGAGACTTTGTACCCATTAATCAACAGCTCCCTATTCCCCCTACTCCCTAGCCCCTGACAACCACCATTCTACTCTCTGCTTTCATGACTTTGACTTTTTAAAATTCCACATATAAATAATATCATGCAATATTTGTTTTTCTGTATCTGGCTTATTTTACTTAGCATAATGTCCTCCAGGTTCATCCATGTTGTTGCAAATGGCAGGATTTCCTTCTTTTTTTAAGGCTGAATAATATTCTATTATAATGGTATATATACAACATGTTTCCTTTATCCATTCATCTGTTGGTGGATATTTAGGTTTTTTCCAGATCTTAGCTGTGGTAAGTAATGTTGCAATAAACATGGAAGTACAGATATCTCTTCTAGATACTGATTTAATATTCTTTGTATGTATACCCAGAAGTGGGATTGTTAAATCATATAGAGTTTATTTTTAATTTTTTTGAGAAATTTCCACATCATTTTTCATAGTGGCTATTCCACCATCAGTGTCCAAGTGTTCCCTTTTCTCCACATCCTCACCAACATTTGTTACCTTTTGTTTTTTGATAATAGCCATTCTAACAGGTGTGAGGTGGTATCTCTGTTGTGGTTTTGATTTGCATTTGCATTACCTGGTCAATGGTGCTGCTGAGCACATTTTCATTTACCTGTTGACCATTTGTTTTTGATTTTTAATCTTCACTTGAGGATATTTTTCCACTGATTTTTTTTTTTTTTTTTTTAGATAGAGGGGGAGGGAGGGAGGGAGAGAGAGAAACATTGATGTGAGACAGACACATCAATTGTTTGCCTTCTGCATGACCCTGACCATCGCCGGGGACCAAACTCACAACTGAAGTACATGCCCTTGACCAGAATCGAACCCTCGACTCTTTGGTCCAAAAGCCAATGCTCTAACCGTTGAGGCAAACCAGCCAGGGTTACTTGTTGGCCATTTGTATGTCTTCTTTTGAGAAATGTCTATTTGGGGTTCTTTGCCCATTTTAAAGTCAGATTGTATTATTTTGTGTACCGGTTTTAAAGTCAGGTTGTATGGCTTTTTGTTTCTTGTTTTTGCTATTGAGTTGTTTGAGTTCCTTGTAAGTACTGGATATTAGCTTATATCAAACGTGTATTTGGAAATATTTTCTCCCATTCCACAGGCTGTTTCTTCACTCTGCTAACTGTTTGCTGTGCAGAAACTTCCTAGTTTGATGCAATCCCACTTGTCTATTTTTGCTTTTATTGCCTGTGCTTTTGGGGTCATATTTAAAAAAATCATTGCTCTAACCAATGCCAAGAAACTTTCTGCTATATTTTCTTGTAGTAGTTTTATATTTCTAGGTCTTCTGTTTGTCTTTAATCATTTTGAATTGACTTTTGTGTATGGTGTGAAATAAGGGTCCAACATTATTCTTCTGCATCTGAATATTCAATATCCAATTTTCCAACACCAGTTATTGAAGAAACTATATGTACCCCATTGTGTGTTTTTGGTACCCTCACTGAAGATCAGTTGATCATAAATGCATGGATTTATTTCTGCACTCTCTATTCTGTTCCATTGGTCTATATGTCTGGTTGTTGTTTTTTTAATCCTTACCTGAGGATATTTTTACATTTATCTTCAGATAGAGTGGGAGGGACAGAGGGAGGAAGAGAGATAGAGAAACATTGATGTGAGAGAGACACATCAAACTGGCCGCCACCCACATGACCCCAACCGGAACTGAGGACAAACTGCAACTGAGGTACATGCCCTTAGCGGGAACTGAACCCGGGACTCTCTGGTCTGTGGGTTGACGCTCTAACCACTGAGCAAAACTGGCCAGGGCCAGCTCAAGATTCTTAACTTAATCCCACATGGGCTGAATTGTGCCCTGCCCAAATTCATACACTAAAGCCCAACCCCAGCACCTCAGAATATGACTGTGTTTGTCGATAAATTCTTTAAAGAGGCAACTAGATTAAAATGAGGTCACTAAGGTGGAACCTAGTCCAATAAAACCGGTGTCCTTATGAGAAGAGGAGGTTAGGACACAGATGCTCAGAGGGAAGGCCATGTGGGGACACAGGGAGAAGAGCGCCATCTGCAAGCCAAGGAGGAAGGCCTCAGAAGGAACGAACCCTGTCAGCACCTTGATCTTGGACTTCCAGCCTCCAGAACTATGAGGAAATACATCTCTGTTGTTAAAGCCCCCCAGTCTATGGCACTTTGTTATGGCAGCCTGAGCAGACTAATCCATTAATATCTATAAGGCTCCAGGGATTAGGACCTGGGTGTCTTTGGGGAATTATCAGCACATTTGCTTACCATCTCTCTACCAGAATGTATAACTAATGAAAGGAGAGAGTTTATCCATGTTCTTAAAACAGTGTCTATCCTCAGGAGTTTACATTCTGGTATGGAGAGTTAATAAAAAAAAGAAGGAAAGTCTTTGCTCCATGGATGCTCTAGAGAAGAAGAAGGCAGGGGCAGGTGAGAGAGTGCTGCACAGGGAGGGTACAGTTTCCAATTTTAGAAAGGGTGTAGGGAAGGACCTTCTGAGAAGGTGACATTTGAGTCGAGACCTGAAGGAGATGAGGGAGCCAAGCACGCTGCTAGGAGGAGAGAGCATCTGGGCAGGAGAGAAAGCAGACGTGGAGGCCTGCAGTGGGGACCTGCTGCCTACAGCAGAATAAGAGGGCCTGTGGAACTGCATGTCCTGGTGGAGAGCTGAGTAGCAGGATGTGAGGTCAGAACAGCTGGTGCAACTCAGGTAGGGGCTGCTAGGCCATTGAAAGGCTGCTGGCTTTGTGCCTGAGTGAGATGAGAGCCATTGCAGGATTTTGAGCAGACGCATGACCTGAACTGACTTAAGTTTTAAGAGGATTGTTTTGGCTGCTGTGTGGAGAGAAGGCTGCTTGGACAGCCAGGGCAGAATAAGGGAGCCAGTTAGGAAGCTGTGTAGTAATCCAGACACTAAGTGCTGGCGACCAGGGAATGGCCCCTGGAGGTTGTGAGCAGTGGCTGGGCTCTGGGTATCTTCTGAAGGTAGATTCACCACAGGATTTGCTGGTGAATCTGCTATGGGGAGTGGGAAGAGAGAACCTAGAGATGGCTCCAAGCTGCCAGACTGATCCACTGGAGCTGCTATTTACTGAGCTGGGGAAGGCGGGGGTGGGGAGCACATTTTGTTGGCGGAGGACCATGCTATGCAGGGATGCCTGTGAGATTTCCAGGTAGCGATACAAGAACTGGCCTTGGGCATGAGAGTCCACAGCTTGGGGGGGGGGAGTGTCCATGTTGGAGGTGTCAATTTTGGAGTTGCCAGTTCATAGGTCGTATTTAAAGCCATGAACCATAAGAAATTAAAGCAGGGATGCCCCCAGCTGGGGCTGGCCAACTTTTGAAGGCCAGAGAACTGAGAGGGACCAGCAAGGCATATTTTTGTTGAAGGAATAAATGAATGAATAATTTCCTTTGCCACTACTCTTGGGCAGGCTGTCACTCCTCACTGATTATCACAGCAACCCCTTGTGGGTCTCCACGAATCCACCCCTACCAACTTCAGGTCCATTCTCCATCTTTCCTTGGCTCTGCCCTGTCTCACTGTCCTGCCCCCAGGTCTTCACACAGGCTGCTCTCCCTGCCTGAAAGGTACGACCCTCCTCCGTGCATTATTCTTTGCCTGATAAATTGCTTTTTGCACTCTGCTGTCTTCTTGGAAGCTCTCTCTGAGCATCATCCCATTCTCTTTCTCTTTTCATCCCAACTCCTGGCACTGCGAGGATCCTTGAGAACAGAGGCAAGACAGTCCCGTCTGCCTACTCCACCCACACTCCCAACAAACATTCCCTTGCTATCCTCTGGCTTAGGCGTGTGCCACTGGCCGTGGGGTTTGCCCTCAGGAGGTCAGATGCAGGCATTGAGGCCATGTGGTCCCTGGAAGTGGACTTTGTGGTTTGGGGAAGGAATTCCGGAATCTGGGATCCAGAGCGTGGTCTCAAAAGGAGTTGTAGGCATGTCCCCAGGCCCTGTGGATTTCTGGCCCTGAGGGGAGGGGGATGGCCCTGGGGATGGGTGCATCTAAGAGTGGTACTGAGTCTCCCAGTGCCACCTGCAGGGTGACATTTGTTATGTTTTATAAAGAAATGAAGCAGTGCCTTACATGGCCAGGTTTCAGAGGAAAACACGTTTTCTTGTTTTCTTAGGTAGGGCCATTTTCTCCTCTCTGTGTGGCTGTTTACCAGGGCCAAGGGTAATTTTTTTTTCTTTATTGATTTTTAGAGAGAGAAGTAGAGAGAGATGGAAACATCGATGAGAGAGAACATCACTTGGCTGCCTCCTCCATGCCCCTCAACGGGGATTTGGCCCACAGTCTGGGCATGTGCCCTGACCGGAAATCGAACCGGTGACCTCCTGGTGCATGGGTTGACGCTCAACCACTGAGCCACACCGGCCAGGCTAGAAGGGTCACTTTTGTTTATTCCATCCCTCAGCTGCACCCTCAGAGCTCAGAGGCCACCCACCAGGCTCTGTGCTCATCTTAGTGCTATGGGGCAAGGGCTGGAGAAGGTGAGGCTGGGTGGGCGAGCCCTCCAGGCCTCCCGAGGAGACCCACCGTGGGGCCGCATGTGTGGGACTGGCCGGCCCAGCTTCCTCTACAAAGGGGCTTCTCCTGCAATCTGAACTTGGAAAAGGATCGTACACCAGAAGCCAAGGGCCAGGGATTCTAGTAAGCAGTCCCCTAAATACACCTTGAACAGTGGAGGTTCCCCAAGGCGGAGCCCTGTTCCCTGCCTGGGCCAGGAGCTGACAGCAGATGAGGGGATTACAAAGGAGGCCAAGACACCGTTTCCTTTAAAATGTTTTTATTTATTAGTCTTTTTTGAAGCAGTTAATTCTCTTTTCTTATTTTAAAAAAAAATGTGTTTCATCCAGAGTTATACCAAAGTGATTAAAATGAATTTTCTACTGGGAATATAGCTCCCCAGATCAGAAAAAAAAAAATTGTTTTCAATCAACCACAAAAATAAAACCAAGAGAAAACATAAACAATAAAAAAAAAATCCCCAAATATCCAGGACAAAAAATAAAATATTTATTGATCTATCACAGCGAGACACAAAGAGATGGGCGGGGCAGGGACGGGAAATGCTGTGAAGTACAGTGGCTCGAGGGAGGGACGGGGGATACAGTACTGCGTGGGGGGGACCCATGTTCGGGAGGAGATTCCTGCCGCCCCAGCTGGCACAGCCCCTCACACCCCGGCCCCTTTGTAGGGGTATGTGTGGTGGGACGAAGGCAGGGCACAGGCTGCCATGACAGGTTAACCAGGTTGACGGTGGGGGTACCGGGCCAGCTAGTGGTGCCAGGCGGTCAACTGAGGACAAGGATGGATGGACAGATGGGCGGATGAATTCCACAAGAGAAAGAGGGCTATTCCTGTTGGGGTTCTTCTGATCTGAAGGTGCCCCAGACATGGGGAATAGTGATTGGTGAGGGGAAAAGGGGCCCAGGGGCCAAGAGATGGTGTGACCGAATCCAGCCTGAGGTTTTTGATGCTTGGGTACCAACTGGACCGCAGCCAGGGGTGGGTCCTGGTGGGCAGGGGGAGGTGGGACTGCCCAGCAAGTGTCTGCACCATTTTCAGAGGGCCCCGGGGAGGGGCTTCCCGAGGGGCCGCCCTTCCCTCCTCCCTCCCCCAGGAAGATGAAAGCACCAGCACTTAGCACCGAGTTCCCCTGCAGATGGAGAGTGTGTGGAGGGGGAGCTCCTGGGTGGGAAGGGGGCAGGGGGCCAAGCCCACCCACCCCTTGCCTCTGAAGTAGGGGGCTTCCCGGGGCCCACTTGGCCACCGTTCTCTTGTTTCCTTGTCCTGTGGATTTCCAAGTCCGCCCGGCCAGCCCTGTCCCCTCCAGAGGTGGGGACTTAGGAGGGGGCATTGAGGGGAAGGTCACAAAGGGTTTACATTCTCCACCAAGCAGTAGCACCAACGTTGATGAGGTCGTGAGTCAGGGGTCCTGGGAAGCTCACTTTCTCTTCCGGCCACAGGATTTCCCCAGGCAGGCCCCACCTGGGTGGGTGGGGTCACACACGAGGGTTAGTCTGGCCCCTCCTCATTGCTGCTCAAGCCACTGCCCACTGACCAACTTCAACGTCATCACAATGGGGAACAGAGGCTCCAAGAAGCCTCCAGAAGCCTGGGCTCCATCCCAGGCCAAACTCTCATTGTAAAACCCCCACTGGACAGGTGGGTGGGACCAGGGCTCAAGAGGTGGTTGATGAAACCAAGGCTCAGAGAAGGGAAGAGTCCAGGCCATGGGGCCAGGTCCAGGAAGGACTGGGTCTGGACAAGGTCTCTGTACTCTGCGTGCTCTGCCTCTGGGAAGCCTTCAGTGAGTGGCTCAGAGCAGCCCCCTCCAGGGAAATGGTGTGATGAAAGTGAGAGTGCCTCAAGTAAGGAAACTGAGGCCCAGGGAGAGGGAGAGTCTCACTCATCCAGTCAGTGGCTGACCTGGGGCTGGAACCCAGGACTCCTGCCCTCTCCTGGGCAGAGTCTGGTAAATCTTGTTTCTAATCATCAAGGCACCAGTGTCTGGTAGTAGGGCCTGGCTTAGTTCCTACCCCTGTGGGAGCTGGACATGGCTTGTTACCGCCACCTGGTGGCAAGGAGAAGCCAAGTGGGGCAGGAGGAGCAGGCATCTCTGTGAAGCTCACCCTGTTGTTGGGAAAGCAATGGAGAGGGCCACAAGCATCACTAGGCACAATGGAAAGGGTCAGGCTGGTCTTGCCTCTGCCTCTCCCAGCCCTGGCCTTGCCTCAGCTGCCTCATCTTGTGTAGCAGGAAGCAGGCAAGAGTGGACGGGAATCCACAGTCTGAGCAACCATAGGGGTGGAGCGGGGCTTCTTTGGGTCTCCTTTGGGTATTGTTGGGAGGAACTTGGGAGGTGATTAGGACACATCCCACACATTTCCAGAAGTGTGTACGCATTTCTGAGCAAGGGTATGGCTCAGTGCCTGGTAGTGGCTTCTGCTCATTCTGCCCAGCTGGGGTACCTGGGTTCCCCCTGCCCATCCTGCAGATTTCCTTAATGCTGGGGCTCCCATGGTCTCATCCATTTTCTCTCTCTGTCTCTGCTCCTCTGAGTCCCCCGCCCCCACTTCTTTTCCCTTGGCTCCTGCCTGAAGGGGGTGTATGGTTAGCAGGGAGGCAGGGACTGCCAGGCCAGGCCAGTGTGAGCATGGAGGGTCCGGGGCCTACACCCAGATCTGATCATCTGTGTAGGAGGCAGAAGAAGGGATGGGTGAGGTGTCCAGTTCCTCCAGCCTCCCCACCCCCGCCAGGCCTAGTCCAAATGTGCTTCCCCCTCTCCCAGACTGAGGGGCCCCATCCTCGGCCTCGGTCTCTGCCCTGCTCTCCTCCGGGGGTGGGGGCTACTCACCTTGGTACCCTAGGGCTCCCAGGGCTCCTCCGTAGGGCTTGGGAGGTTTGCCTGTGGAAGGAGAGGTGGAGATTGGGGAGGGGCCAGGCTTTCCTGCCTCCTCCAGAACCTTTGCCATGAGGCCTTGGTGCTTTCACAGCAGGCTCCGAAGGCCCGTGGGCCATATCCTGTATGGAGGTCCGAGCAGCTTGGCGGGCGCCCCTCCCCGCAGCCAGACCCCGGCCTCAGCCTTGCCCCCCGCTACCATGCTGGGATCACAGAGGTTTTGACCTCCCTGGCTACCTGTTTGCTGGAGCTTGCTCTTCCCTTACAGTTTCTTTCTTTTTCTGTGGGAACTTGTCAGTCTCTCCACTTAGACCCCAAGCTCCAGGGTGACCAAGGTCCCTCTCTCACTCCTGATGCCCAGTCAAGTGCCAGGCTGGGCGCCCCGGGAATCAGGATCCTTGCCCTCTGTGCCCACATCCAAGGGCTGAACTTTCAGCTTCGGTGACTCCCCTCAAGCCTCCATACCAGAGGGACAGCCAATGGCTGTGGCTATACTAGCCATGCCTTCAACAGACTCTCCTCCCACCCCAGTAAAGGAAATTAAGGCCTTGCTTGAAGTGGGGCCCCTCCTCCTTTCAGACTCACCACCAACTCCCAGGCCCCCGGCTCCGGCTCCGGCTCCGCCACCTGCAAGGCAAGGAGAGGGGGTGTGAGTGTGACGCTTCTGGGAGCCCCCCAAGCCCTGCCGGCTGCACAGGCCTCGCCTGAGAGGGGCGGAGTTCTGGGCTTGGGTGCTGGGAGCCCTGGCTCTGCCTCACTCCCTGTGTGACCTTGGGCAAGTCCCTGGCACTCTTCGAACCTCCGAACCTCCGTTTACCCCACCTGGAATGTGGCGTTTTAGAAAAGCGGACACTCCCTGGTCTTGTAAGGGAGGAAGAGAAGAATGAGGATGAGCCTAGTGTGGTGCAATTTGAGGTTATGGATTCACCCTGGGGTTTGACTCAGCCCTCCTGAGTGGGAGATGAAGCAGGGGAGGGGAAGGACGGGGTCAGAGCTGCAGCACAGGGCCCAGGGCCAGAAGCCGGGGCATACCTGGGAAAATAGGAGACAATCCGAAGCCAGGTCTTGCTGCAACTCCTGCAGGAGGGACATGGGGTTGGCACAGGGCAGACCCCCCTCCAGCCTTGCCCCCTCTTTCTCTCTGCCCAGGACCACCTCCTCCCTCTCCCCCTCCTCCATAGCCAGAGTGGCTTTCTTCACAAACCTTGTCCCTGCCTGGCATCCTGGTGTGGGGCCCCACAGCCTCAGATCGTCAACCATGGTGCACCCCCTGGCCCTGAGGCCTCCCCTTTGCTCAGGGTGTTTCCTTTCCTGCCCCCTCTACTCTGTCTCGTATTCCTGTGCTGGCTGCAGCGCCAGGACTTCCCCTGCTAGCCCAACGGGCCTTCTCTAGACCTGAGCAGAGCCGAAGCTGTCAGAGCAGAGCTGGCCCTACCTCCGCCTGGGAATGGCCTGGCAGCTCCTAGGACACCTCCAAGGCCAGCGGCACCTGAGAGGAGGGCAGATGGGGTTTGCAACAAGGCACAGTCTAGGGAGCTCTGAGCATCCCCTGTGGGTTCTAGGGTCAGGGAGATTCTGGACAGGCTGTCAGGGATACTTCCAGCAGGCCTGAGGCCTGAGGTGGGTGGGAGGGGCAGTCAGAACGGGGAGTATTAGCAACCTACAGGCCTGGACAGGAGGAAGGCAGCAGGGAGCCACTCACCATATTTGGCTGCTTTAGCAGCTGCAGCTGGGGACACACCTGGGAAGATGGGGTACATGAGGGCTCAGGAATATCCCTTTCCTCCCAGTCATGTCCCCATTCTGACCTGTTCACCATTTACCATCTGCCCACCCACTCATCCTTCCACATCCCTCCACCCCTTCTTTATTCCTCTTTCCAAAAGTCTTTATTAAGCTCCTACTGTGTGTCCAGTCTTGTGGCGCACACAGGAAGTCTTCAGGTGGGTTTAGGGAGGGAGATACAGTAATGGCCCAAGAAAGAGTGAAATGTCAATACAAGGCCCCCAGGATGGCAGAGACTGGAAAAGCAATTCCCTCCAAGCTTTGGTTTTCTTCTCCAGAAAATGGGCTTAGCCATCATTATCCTAATGAACTCCCATTTGATGTGGTCACGTGGGTGAAGGAGAGGGAGAGGGTTGGCATCCCAGTCCAAGAAGCAGCCTTACGTTCTGCTTGCTCGAGGCCCCCTGTAAATGCTGTAGCAGCCCAGAGAAGGGGGCAGACCCACCACACCCTGAGTGGCAGATGAAGTGGGGTTGGGGTGGGGGCAGAGAAGACAGACAGTTTGGGCAAGATGTGGCAAAATGAGAAGGAAAATCTGTCTCCGTCTCTGACACACACACACACACACACACACACACACACACACACCATAAACTCACTAATACCAGAGTAACACCTTACCTCCAAAGGCCCCAGCCCCTGGGACAGCTCCACCAGCCCCAAGCCCTCCAATTCCCAGTCCTCCAGCTCCGAGCCCGCCGGCTCCCAGGCCTGCGGAGAGAGCTGTGTGTTAACACCCCACTGCTGAGCCCTGGCTGGTTTGGCTCAGAGGTTGGAGCGTTGGCCTGTGGACCAGAGACTTGGGGGTTCAATTCTGGTCAAGGGCATGTGCCTCAGTTGCAGTTTGGTCCCTGGCCCTAGTCGGGTTGTGCGGGAGGCGGTCAGTCGATGTGTTTCTTTCACATCAATGTTTCTCTCTCTTTCTCTCTCTCCTACTCTGTCTGAGGATAAATGGAAAAAAAGTTGCCCCACGTAAGGATTTGAAGAAAACACCCCATTGGTGAGACCCCTGCTGCTTGTCTGTGAAGGACTGAAGTGTCACCCAGGTGGAGCGGGTGCAGTGGGGCCGAGGTGGGCTGGGCCCTGGGGAGACAGTGTCCCTGAGGGCCGCAGGGGCAGGTCAGGGAATAGTGCCCCACAGTGCATGGTCGGAGGCCCCCAAGCCCTGGGACCTGGTGGCAGCCCCCACCTCCACACAGTGCTCACCATACTGGGCAGCTTTGGCAGCGGCCTTGGAGGCAGCAGCCAAGGCAGCAGGTCCGGCTCCTGGGGACACAGAGGGAGCTCAGGGAGCAATTCTCCATGGGTCAGCCTCCCTCCCTGCCCAGCCTGCCCTGGGGTTTCAACTCACCTGCCACACCACCTGGGACACCTGCTCCACCAAGACTTCCAAGGCCCCCAGGTCCTCCTGCTCCTGAGGAGAGGGGGCAGAGAGTCAATCACCCTCATTTCTGAAGGACAGGGTCTCTCTGGCCCAGGGACATTAGTCAAGCAGACAGGTGGCTGAGGCCATGTGACCCAGTGGAAGGAGCACTGGACAGAAGTCCATTCCCTGACCAATCAATCAGGCAAGAGTGGGCTCCTTTGAGCCTGGGCCTGCCCATCGTTTCTCCACCCCCTGGGCGAGCACTGGAGCCGCAGATGGACACAAGTGGTGGCCACAGCTGCTGAGGGGGGAAGATTCGTCTCAGGTACTAACAGCCCTGAGTTCCAATCCTGGTTTCTCCACTCATTTTTGCTGTCACCTTTTTGAACTCCAGAGCCTCATCTCTTTAAAGAGATCATCCAGTCCTGGCCGGTTTGGCTCAGCGGTTAGAGCGTCGGCCTGCGGTCCAGAGAGACCCGGGTTCGGTTCCCGCTAAGGGCGTGTACCTCAGTTGCAGTTTGTCCCCGGCCCTGGTCGGTTGTGCGGGTGGCAGCCACTCGATGTGTTCCTTTCACATAGATGTTTCTCTCTCTCTCTCTGTTCCTCTCTCTCCCTCCTACTCTACCTGAACAAAAAATGGAAAAATGTCCTCGGGTGAGGATAAAAACAAAACAAAACAAAGAGATCACCCTTACTCCATTCACCCGACAGGTGTTTGCAGAGTGAATGAGCACACATCTGCGAACATGCTCTGAGTTTTGAACCACTGTCCAGAGCAGAGCTGCTAGTAGCAGGAGTTCCTCAGTCCTCAGTGCTTCTCTCGGAGTAGCCTGCTTATTATTCATTGCAATAGGAAAGGTGGGTACTATTATCATCCCCATCTTGCAGATGAGAAAATTGAGGCAGAGCAGAGGTTAATCAATTTGCTCAAGGTCCCCTAGGCAGGAAATGGCTCTGGAGCCTGTGCCCTTAACTGCTTTGTTTCCCTGGCAATGTCTGCTAGACTCAGGCTGGCAGAGCAGCCAGCAAGGAACAGGAGAAGGGCTTGTGGGTCACCAGGCCCGCCAGGGGTGGGGGCTGAGGAAGCCGGGATTTTCCGAGGTGGAAACTGGCCCCAAGTGGATTGGCTGGGGCTGGTTGGTGTTTCCCTGGCAGAGGCCCCGGCCTGGCTCCCAGAAGGCCAGGAATTCAGGGGCCACAGACAGTGTCGGTCTGGCCAGCCAGGCCTGCTGAGCGCCAAGTGGAGGGGCAGGCATGTCTGCCACGTCCTCGTGGCTCGTGGCAGGCGCAGTCATGCTGACAGGGAGGTGGGCGGGGGGCCGGGGCCTCCACTGGCTGGGAGGCAGAAGCTGCCTAGCTGAGAGCCTGGCCCCTCCATGGCCCTGGGCCCACAGAACTGTGAGGGCCAGAAGTGCCTTAGGGACCATGGTCTTCACCAAGGTGGAACTGCCCCCAGGGAGGACGGAAATGTGAGGGGCATGTTTGGTTGTCCCAGGGCTGGAGGCTCGACAGGCATTTAGTAGGCAGGAGCCAGCTCTGCTAAGCTGTCATGAATGTGTCCTAGAAACTGCTTTTTCCATCCTGACCATCCCAGCCCTGTGCTGCAGGCTCCGGGCACGAGGCCCTGGCCCAGAGGGAGGGCAGATGGGTGACCAGGTGCTATCAGGGATGGTGGGGCAGCAGTGGAACCAACCGTGGTGGTCAGTGTGGGGGCACTCACCGTATTTGGCTGCCTTAGCAGCAGCCAGGGATCCAGGTCCTGCAGAAAAAGGAAAAGTGGGGTGGTCAGCAGCTGAGCTCTGTGCTAGGGGGGTACTACTTCCTCCTGGAAGCCCTCCCTGCCTTCCTTGGCCTTCTTTGCTCCTCTCATAGCCCGGAAGCCGTGGGTCCCCAGCCAGGAGGTCACCCTGCCAGGCAGATCTCTAGTATCTAAACATGCCTCTGCCAGTCTGGTCTGGGGGTGCTTAAGGGCTGAACTGTGCCTCTTCCTTCCATCTGCCCCTCCTGTCCCCTTTGGGTCCAGTGTGGTTTGCCTGAGGCTGGATGCACAGCAGACTCAGTAGCCATTAGATGAAAAACTGGAGTTCCCAGTGGCCCCCTTGCCACAGTGTATTGCTGAAGGGGAGCCATGCTGGCCCACCCCTGTCCATGGAGCCCAGAGACCTTCAGCTTCCTTCCCTGAACAGTGGGCTTCTTTTCAGTTTGGAGTCCCATGACCCCTCCACTGAAGAGGTAGCAACTCTAACATCTGGCAGCCTGGGGCTTCCTCGCCTGGCCTGCCCCCATCTGTTACCCTAGTCACTTCTGACTGCTCAGGAAAACCTAATGGGGAATTTTCTACGAGCCCTTGGATGAGGTGCTGGGAGATGTGCTGGGTGGGGAGAGGTCTCCCTCTTCTGAGCTCAGGGGTCATTTCTGCCCAGCCTAGAAGTCCCCGCACCTGCCCCTGCCCCAAATCCAGGAACACCAGCACCAGCTCCAAATCCAGGAACGCCAGCACCAGCTCCAAATCCGGGAACGCCAGCACCAGCTCCAAATCCGGGAACACCGGCACCAGCTCCAAATCCGGGAACGCCACCAGGAAGCCCAGCTCCAGCCCCTGGGAAAGATGGACAGTGGGGTGGTGACAGCAGGCAGGAAGCATGCCCCTGTGGGGGTGTCCTGCCCAGGGAGCTGAGACAGGCCCCAAGAGGAGGGGAGCAGATCCCCTTAATCCACCCTCTACGCTGCCACCAGAATGGCCTGCCAAACATGCCCACTGACCACGGCCAGCCCCTTCCCCGGCCAGCATTCAGGGCTGCACACTCACTACAGCATTTTCCTTTCCAGCCTAACCTCCCACTCTTCCCTCTTGAATGAACTCGTCTGATTCTCCCAACAGCCTTCTGTAGCTGATGCCTTCAGCACCCACACGTCACGCACGAGGACAGGAAACTCAGAGATCACTCAGCTGGTGTGGGGCCCAGGATTCAAACCTGGGTCTCTCTTATGCTAAATCTGCTTTTCCAACCCCTCTGCCTGCTGCCTCGGGGACCCTCAAGCCTGCATGGTGGGCCCGAGAGCCTGCATATCGTGGGGCCCAGCTCCCGCTTGGGTCGTGCTGGGCCAGCCTGGGCTGGTGGGGTGAGAAGGGAAAGCCAGGCAGGGCACTCACGGAGCTGGGCTTTGGCGGCCGCCTTAGCAGCAGATTTGGCTGCAGCTGGGGTCCCTGCTCCTGGAAAGAGAGGGGGTGTGAGGGATCTCACCCGTGGAGAATTCAGAGGCTCCTCAGGCCCACATTCTCACATAACTTACCTGTAACACCACCGGGGCCAACGCCAATGCCGGGAACCACGCCAGCGCCGGGGCCAACGCCAATGCCGGGAACCACACCAGCGCCGGGGCCTAACCCTACAAGGGTGAGAAGAACCAATCCTTAACCCAGTCCCAACCAAGGAGGACAGAAGCCAATAGAAAGAGCAGTGAACTGGGAACCAGGAGCCCTGGGTTTTGCATCCCACCCGGGGCACAGGATGTGCCCTTGTGCCATGTGCCCTGTGCCCTCGGACAAGCTATTTTCCCTTGATGCGTCTCAGCTGCCTCATCCCTCATATGAAGCATGTGTAGGATCAGGAGTTCCTAACCTTTGGAGGGACAAGGACCTGTCTGAGACTTCCGAGGGTGGTGAGGCAGAGTTACGTAGTGAAGGGTGCTCCGTAAGACAGGCGGACATGGGTTCAGAGCTCAGCTCAGCCACCGTTTAGCTGAGTGACTGAGAGCAAGTTATTTAAGCTCTCAGAACCTGTTTCCACATCTGTAAAACTTCAGTTCCCAAAGCTGCGATTGGCAGAGGCCTAGATCGTCGCCAGCTCCACGAGTGTGCTGTAGTAAGGACTGCCCCAGCAAACGGCAGCTTTACTACACAGGGGTCGGCTGTCCTACGTGAGTTAGGGGGTCAGTGGACCTGAAATTAAGATCCTCTGGTCTAGAGAGCCCTAGATTTTCTGACCTGATTCTTGCTGCCCACAGGACCCTAAAGCCAAGGCATGTAGATGCCCTGGCCCAGGCCTGGTAGACAGTTGAGCTATAAGGCAGGGCTATTGCCATTTGTTATATGAAGGAAGGCGTAGGTGCCTGGGGCTGCCGGGGTGGCCCTCAGCTGTATCAAGGATGGAGAACCTTGTCAGGGAGCAAGAAATACTGCCATGAGGGTGGTAGGAGCCCAGAGGAGCCCAGCTTGTGGTCCAGAAGGGGGATGGGCCCCAGCTAGACTCAGGGGCAGCAGGGGCTTCGGGAAGAGTGGGGAGGTTGGTCCTGGTCGGCTCACCAGGGCCTGTTCTCACTTGGCTTTCCTAATCAGAGACTTTGTCCACACCCCTAAAAGCGATCAGATGGGTCAAAAGGCCCACAGTGAGACTGTGACAGCCTGAGGGGCTGCCAGGCCCCAGAGTAGAAGACATGAGAGAGCAGTGCTACAGCTGGGGCAGTGGCAGCAGAGCTGGGGGGGACACTTACCATATTGGGCAGCTTTGGCGGCGGCTGCAGCGGCGGCAGCCGCTGGGGTCCCAGCTCCTGGAGAGGTGAGAGAGGGGCTTGGAGAGGGGTCCTCTGCACCCCTCCTTACCCTCCCCCACCTCCCACTGTGGAAAGACCTTTCAGAGTCCACCTCTAGGGAACTACCCCCTCTCCCAGAAGACTCTGCACCACCTCCTCATGCTGGAGATGGAGAGGGAAGCACACAGAGCCCAGCCCACAGCAGGCCGCCTGGGTTCCAGGCCTGCTCTGAGGATGGCCGTCTGGCTGCTCAGGGACAGCGACAGCCTAGTTTGGACTGTGGTGGTGGGAGTCCAAAGCTGTGATTGGCAGAAGCCCAGACCATCTCCGAACCGCTGTCTAAAAGATTTGTGAAGCTTTCTGCTAAAGGTGATGTTAATTTTTAAAAATCTCAATTGGGCTTGTATCCAAAACTATTGGAGAAAATGTTTCATTTTGGAGGGAAACTCAAAAGGGGGAATTTTCTCCCAGAAAGAAGAAGAAATGTAGAAATCTTCTGGTGGGAAGGTTGTAACTTAATCTCATTGTAACTCTTAACTTCTCTTTGGCCTCTGACTGGTGGGAGAGTGCAGGGGAAGCAAAGGGTGACACAGGCCCTTCCACCTGGTCAGGAACAGAAAGGACCCTTACGTCAATGAGGCCACCCAACCCTGACAGGGCAGCTCCAGTGCTCAGCCGGCTGACCTTGGCGGACCTTGGCGGACCTTGGCGGACCTTGCCAGGTTTGTTCAGTAGACTGGAATCCCATAAAGGGTCTTCCCTCCAAACTAGGGGACTGCTTTCCCTCCTCCCCACCTCTGGGCTCAGCCTTGCTGTCTTAAAAATAGTGCACTTGGCCTGGGCCAACTCCAGGGCCCCTTCCATGAGATAAACCAAACCTGTTGGGGACATAGCTCACCTGGCACCCCTCCAGCGCCCGGCACACCTGGTACTGCACCTCTGGCTCCGGGCACCAGCCCTCCCAGGGCTCCTGCTCCTCCAGCACCTAGAGGAGTAAAGAGCGTCGAGCTCTGTCCCTTGAAGCTCCCCTTCCCTGGAGGAGCAGGGGCAGAGGTGGGGTGGGGAACGCAATGGCTGCAGGAGCACCTTCAGCTCGCTGGTTTGGGCTGGGGTGATAAGCTGGGCACCAATAATCCTGATGGTGGGGAATTGAAAAGGGCAGGAAAGCTCAGTGTGGCTTTGGAAGATGGGGCCCGGGGTTTCCGGTCTCGGCCCAGGCCCTTTCAGTTCTGGAGGCCTGAGCGTGAGCCTGGACTGTCCTCGCGCTGGAGAATTGCTCTGAGCTCTGAGCTCTGAGCTGGGCCCCAGGCAGAGCAGGGCTGGGGTGAAGGAGGGAAGGGGCTGCCCAGGACACCGGGGCAGGCAGGCGGGGGCACTTACCGTACTTAGCTGCCTTGGCAGCTGCTGCCTGGGCTGCAGCTACAAAGAAATGAGCGAGAGAGACCCTCAGAAACCTTGCTGGATCTCAGTGGGACTGTGCTGACTAGTCTCCTGCCCCAAAGGGCGCTGCAGGCTCTCCCTGTGCTCTCCCCGACTCCGCCCTGAGCACACAGAGGCCCAGTCAACACCCCCTCCCTGTAGAGCTCTACAGAGGAGAAGCCCTATGCCTTCTCCCCGTTTCCCCAGATGGAACCAGGGCTCACGGGAAATGCCAGCTCCAGGGATGCCTCCAGGGACACCTCCGATGCCAACTCCAGGAACACCATAGCCAGGAAAGCCCCCAGCACCAATCCCATAAGCGGGAACACCTCCTACTCCCAGTCCAGCTCTGCCGCCTGTGGAGAGACAGAAAAGGATCTCAGTGAGGGAGGCTGGGAGGGCCGTGAGGGATGCTGGTGGAGTGGGGAAGGAGGTGCAAGCCTCCCCCAAGTCTGGTCCTTTAAGGGCAGGAAATCATAGCATGCCTGGGCCCCTGCCAGCCTTTTCCAGGAAGCCAGCATTTCCCCAACCCCTCTCTTTTCTAATTGGGGTAGGGCCCCTTTGCTGATTATGGAGAGACAGTGGGCAGGTCCTACATCCTCAGCTCGGCTTGGGCTCCTCTGAGAGGACTCCATATGGGGACTCTCCCATCACTCAGCCCCATGGCCTCGTGGTGGGACACCACTGCAGGAGACATTATCCTGGGGCTCAACAGTTCCAAGTTCCCAGCTCTGCCCGTGACTTGCTGTGTGACCCTGGCAAGTCATTCCCATTCTCTGGCCAGAACAGGGTGGGACAGAGCTATCAGCACACTCACCATATTTGGCTGCTTTAGCAGCTGCAGCTGGTGACACGGCCCCTGGAGAGACCAAGGGGATACAAATGATCAGGAGAGAATGGAGGAGAGATGCTCAATATATATCCCACACTATACTCATCTGTCCAGTCTATCTCCTTTCTATCTATGAAGCCAACCCAATGGATGTCTAGTCATCTATTCGCCCACTCACATCTCTATCTAGTCATCTGTGTACTTAACCACCCATTTATCCACCCACTTACCTACCCATGTGTTTGTCTATCCTTAGACTTCAATCCAACCACTCAACCACTTATCTCTCTGTCCATTCCTGCACCCATCTAGCCATCCATTTATTCACTTATCTACCCATTCTAACTGTCTATCCAACATCCATTTTGCATTTGCCTCCTACCCACCCATTTATTCATCTGCTCATCCAACCATGTGCCCATCCATCCATCCATCCATCCATCCATCCATCCATCCATCCATCCATCATTCTAATCACTTATCTAGTCCCTCACCTGTTTTTCCATCTTTCTTTCCATCTACCCATTCATCTCTCTATCCACCATTTTACTCATGTATCTATTAATTCATGTATTCATTCATCCTTGTTTCTGTCCATTCATCCTCTTATCCATCAACTTCTCTACTCATCCACATGGCCATTCACCCACATACCCAGCTGTCCACCTGCCTGTCTATCCATACCCCCCCATCCCATTTATCCACCATTTTCTGAGCATCTATCTGTTCAGCTAAGGGCTGGGAACATAGAGATGAAAATGTCATGGTTCCTTCCCCCAGGAGCACATTGACGGCCAGAAGGTGAGTTGGAGAAGTTGATGCTGGCAGTAACTAGTTAGGAGGTTGTCATATCCCAAGGGAGAGAAGATGAGTCATGGCCAACAGTATGGGAAAAGAGGATAGTTGAATGAAGTGTTAGGGAGAATCCAAAAGTCTTGGCAGTGGTGTCAATATTTCTCTCTTACACACACACACGCACACACACACACACACAGCCTAGTTCACCTGGTCTACCTACAATACCTGGGACTCCAACACCTGGGACCCCAACACCTGGCACTCCAACACCTGGCACTCCAACACCTGGGACCCCAACACCTGGGACCCCAACACCAGGGACTCCAACACCAGGGACTCCAACTCCTGGGCCACCAGGTACCAAGCCTCCAGCAGCTCCTGTGGAAGGAAAGGATTGTTCTGCTTAAGGCCTGAGGGAACCTTAGAGGGCCTCCAAGGGCACGAGTCTAAGGAGCTATGAGAGTGGCAGGTCCTGAGTGCAGGATTCCAGGTGGGCTGGCATTTCCTATGGAGCTTCAAGGGTTTGGGTCTGTGGATGGGAAGAACATGGTCTATGTCTAAAGCAAATTCAGAGCATACTACTAGCATCCAGGAAATGGGTATAGCAGCTATGGGTTGGTCTTGGGAGTAGGGTGGGAGGAGCCAGATACTCCGCAGGGATCCCTTCCATTCCTGGGCCAATCAGTGAAGAACAACAGAGAGGGCCAGGCAGAGTGGCCAGAATGTTTGGGGATGTGGAAGAGAGGTTTTCACAGATGAACAATGGCCAGCAGTCCATCTAGCCTCAGAGGACTGGGGTCTCCAAGACCTTGCCGAGGCCTGGGCAGGCTCCAAGGGCCTGAGGACAGGCCAGAGTCCCGGGCCTGCCTCCCCTGGGGCACTCACCATATTTAGCTGCCTTAGCAGCCACCTTTGCAGCAGCAGTAGCTGGAGCCCCGGCTGGTTAGTTATCTATGAGGAGGCTCTCAGTGGTAATAGGGGTGAAGAGGTTGAGGGGCTGGGAGCTAGCAGCTAGGGACTCCAGAGGTACTCACCATACTTCGCTGCTTTAGCTGCTGCTGCTGCTGCTGCAGCCTGGGGGCTAACCCCTGGGGGAGGGGAAAGGGAGAGACAGCCACAGAGGGTGAGGTCTTTCCTTGGTGGCCTTCAGGACACCCTTCCCTCTGCTGAGACAGACACTACCTGCAACACCTCCAATTCCAGGAATTGCGCCGGCCCCACCAGGAATGCCGACACCTCCACCAGGGAGAACTCCGGCTCCCCCAGCACCTGCGGGGATGCAGACAGTGCAGATGTAGCTCCCAGGGCCCTCCAGAGGCTGGGAAGGAGAGCCACTTGGATGCTGGCCTTTTAACTAGCACCATCTCCTCTGGGAATGAGGCCCAGGCGTCTCTGGCTGGGCCTGCTCGAGAAGGCCCCCACCCCATTCTTCATTGACTCACCCCCAAAGTGTCCATTTCAACACGCTCATTAAGGGACTTGTATGTTTTCAGACAAATCCCATTCTAATCACTGCCACATACTGAGAAACCACAAGCGGCCGCTCCCTAGGCCAGAGGGGCCCCTGTAGGAATGTTCAAGACTTCCTCTCCCTGTGTTCCGAAGACTCGGCCAAGTTTGTAATCCAAGCGCCTGGCTGCCTGGCTCTGGCAGCCCCTCGCCGCCCCAATCTCCTGCTCCCACATTCCACCCTTAGGGGCCTAGAGGGAGGGCCTGTGGGGCCTCCTAGGGGCAGGCCTCCAGCTCGGTGCTTCCCTCCACATACTTGCCCCCTTGGCTGCTGGCAGATGTTTTCTGTCCCACATGGCTACAGGAAGTGCTCCCCTGGCACAGGGGATGAAGGTGAGGACTTTAGCCCCAATGATCTGACTCTGAACTGGAACTACCTGGGGCAGGGGGACAGATGCCCACTCTGCTCACCACATGGGCACAGGGAAGGCCATGCCATGTTTGCCAGCCAAGGGATCATGAACTCGAGGAGCCAGTTAAAAATTTTATAGTACACACTAAATTGATACTGAACTATTAAATTTTTAAAATGCTCATATAGATCCCACCTAAAATGATCATTCTAACCACCAAAGGGCCCATTCCCCCTGCACGGGCTCCTTCCTGTTTTAACCACATGGCAAATTCCACCTATATTTTAAGGCCTCAATCAAATGTCATTTTCTCTGGGAAGCTTTCCTGATTTTCTTCCCCCAGTAGAAATAATATGTCCCTCTTCTCGATTCCCCCAGCAGTGCCTATAGTCTCCAGTAGAGCTCTTATCTGTCCCTGGTCTCTAAAATGGATGGATGGATGGAGGGAGGGAGGAAGGAAGAAAAGGAAGGATGGAAGAAGGGAGGGAGAGACGAATGGAGGGATGGAGGGAGTAAATGAAGGGTTGGATAGAGGAATGAAGGGATAGATAAATGGATGGATGGATAAATGGATAATGGAGAGAGGGATAAAGGGTAGAATAAATGAATGGATGGATGAAAGGAGGCAGGAATGGGTGGTACTGAAAAAGTTGGGCAAAGGGGGATGGGCTGCCCTGGTTAGTTATCTATGAGGAGGCTCTCAGTGGTAATGGGGTGAAGAGGTTGAGGGGCTGGGAGCTAGCAGCTAGGGACTCCAGAGGTACTCACCATACTTCGCTGCTTTAGCTGCTGCTGCTGCAGCCTGGGGGCCAACCCCTGCGGGAGGGGAAAGGGAGAGACTGAAAACTGTGGCCCTGACTCTTCAGAACCCTCTTGTTTCAGCCCTAAGAGAACCGCCAGTTCACATATGGGTGTAGGCGGGGTGACTTCATAGCCAGCAGAGGTTCAGACTGGGGTCTGAACGCAGGGTGGGCTGTCCTGATTTCTGGAGAGATCTCGGCCAGCCCCAGAGCTCTGGAATCTGGGTCGTCAGTGCCCCTTTGGCTGGCAGCGGGGTAAAGCTTTCCTCACCTGTCCCCGTTGGATACCCGGCCTTGGCCCCAGCACCAGCCGCTCCTCCAGGACCATACCCTGTAAAACAGAGAGGCCCCGTGGGTCCCCACACAGACCTCACTGCAGCTGCCCCTGCCCTGCCCTTCAGGGGCTGGGCTGCCCAGGGACTCCCCCTGTCACCCTCAGTCAGAGCTGAAACAAATTCAAATATGGGTGGGGGATGGTTACTCCCATTGTATAGACTAAGACACTGAGGCTCAGGGAAGAAGCTGGTTCTCCCAAGACCTGGTCGTAAGTGTGAGGGCCAGGATTGAGGACCAAGCCATTTGAGTCCAGGTTCCATGTTCCTTCCTCAGGGAATCTCCTTCCCAAGACTCCACCCCACACCCAGCTGGGTGCTCTCCTAGCCCAGGGCTGGGGCTGAATCTCTCTTGCCAGGACCCTGGATCTGGAAAGAGCCGGAAGCCCACTGGTATAGGGGGGCCTTACTCACCATAGGGCAGTTTCCCAGTGCTGTAGGGCAGTCCGTAGCCACCTGAGGAGAGGGTAGGGTGGGCTCAGGCGCTGTGCCAGGGCAGACCCATGCCTTGCTGGGCTCTCACTACCTTGGTTGACAGATCTATTCCCACAGGTGCTGAGGCCTGAGGCCCTCCCGAGGGTCATGAGCAGCTCACAGAGGCTCTCAGGAGAGCAGAGGCCCTGGGTAGAAGAGGGAGATGGGGCACCCTGCCAGGTCCCCTAGAGTCTGAGTAGCTTCCTCACTCCCCTCTTCAACAAGAAACAGCTCCCTGTGTGATGTCAGAGGGGCCTTTCCAATGAATGGTGTTTCTTACCATCAACACAAATGGTTTCCTATCAGGGCTGTGGGTCTCTGTGCCTGTGGGTGCGTGTGTCTGTGGACAGGCATGCATGTGAGTGAGGCCAACACCTGCAGGATGGCTGCCCCGTGCTTTCCTTTGCTGGCACCCGGAAGTGGGGTTCAGTACCCAGGTTTCCTGACATCTCCCACAAAAGACACTGGTGGCCAAAAAAGTGCCCCCCATAAGCTGCCTCCTCAGCAGTGAGATCCGGCAAGAAGTGCCTCTTGAATCCTCCTTCTGACTTACCTGGCAGCTTGGGTGCCTTGATAGGGTACCCCAGTGGGACTCCAGGCTGCTGACCCCCAAAGGGTCCAACTCCTGTGGGAACGAGGAGAGCAAAATCAGCTCCTAACAACTTGAGCCAGCAGCTCCTGCTGAGCCCCGAGACTGGCTCTCCTCTTTCTGCTCAGACGGTGGAGAAGCCCACTGCGACCATCCTGCCTGGGGGCATCCTGCGTGGCTGTCACAAGTCAGCCGGGCCCCTCCAGTGCTGGGTCATTTGCTACGGAGAGCTGTAGAACTTTCTCCCTCCTGGGGCTTGGGCCACAGTTGGGACCTGCAGCCCTTGCAGCATTTGGCCCAGACTGGTAGGTTTTCTGGGCTCGTGTGGGCTGCCACACGTGAAGGGTTGGGACTGGGAAGCAGACCTGTGATTGATGCCACTTTGTGCTGGAGCCAATCTAAGGCCTGGAGCAGTAGGCATGAAGGAAATCGGACAGGCCTGATGGGATTCTGAATGCCCAGCACCTCCCAGGGCAAGAGCCCCTGGCTGGCCACCCTGCTGGCCTGCCCTCCCACCAGGGGTTCTTGCCTTGCCTCACCTGGGATTCCAGCAAAAGCTCCACCTCCACCTGCAATGACAAGGAACCATCGCTGTTGTCCTTCCACGGGGCCCGAGGCACCAATGGCTGGTGCCAGGTAGTACAGAGTGGTGGGCTGGCCCAAGTCGCGGCTAGTTCTTCCCAGATCTCCTGGTTTATGCTGCCCTCACACATACTTGGGATTTCTGAGAGGTGTTCCGTCCATCTCAGCCAGCTGTACCAAGGCTGGAGCACAGGGGTGCCCACCCAGAGGGCCTTGAGCCCAGGGTCCCCAGCCCTACTTCCACTCCCTCCGCAGGGGCTTGACGGTGGATACAGATTCCCATCATGGGTCCCCAACACGCCTGTCACATACCTGGGGCTTTGGGCTTGACTCCTGTTCCAGTGGGAACTCCAGGGAGCACCCCCACACCTGGTAACCGAGCTCCTAGGGGGCAAAGAGGGGTCTGGCAGTGAGGGTAGGAAGGCAGGTCTTGAAGGCCCAGCCTGGCACCCCCACCACCGCTGGGTCACACAGCTGACCTCCTTCCGCGCTGGCCATCAGTGACGGACACAGCTCATGTGGGGCTGTTTGGTGGCGACTTTTCTTCCCTGTCTGACTCAGAAGATCTAAATTTTAATCTCATTTCCTAGCTATGTGTCCTTGTGCCTCAGTTGGCCTTGTCTCTAAACGAATGAATGTCCAGTCGCCTTGTCCATCCTTACCAGAGAAGGCAGACAGGAAGTGGGAAGCCTGTGACCTTCCGGGGCCCTCACTGCCCTGCGTTCACAAGTGCACAATCTGCTGCGGCCGGGAGCTCTGTGTTTGCCAGCGTCCGGCACCTCCCACCTCTGCTGTCCCCCGGGGCTGGGCCACCTCAGCCAGAGGGCCAGAGGGAGGGACACTGTTAGCATATCTCACAGAGCAGCCCGAGTCTGGGCTTTTGGGGGAATTCAGGAGGTCACATGTTGGGTGGGGTGGCCAGGCCCTGGGAGGGAAAGGAGGGTGAGGGCAGCTCTGAGGGTCTCCTGTAGGGCGGATGCTCTGGGCGGGCTCCCTGGTGACTCATGGCTTTTGGGAATCAGCTGGCTAAACTGGGGAATTGGTTTGTGCTCCGGGGCCCGCATCAGACTGTGACAGTGATCCGGGTCTGGATCTGGGGTCAGGGCTTGGGTGGGATGAGGGAAAGCTGACTGGCCTTCGTGGGGAAAGATGACAGGGGGTCCTGTGACCCTTAGCCTGCGCTTTGATGCTTAGGCACCCGAGGCTCTGGTGGCTTGGCTTGCAGGCATATGAGGGCCAAGGAGGCTGCCAGGAGATAATCTCCTTGCTATAGGGTCCCCTTCTCCTCTTTGATTTTACCTGTGCCTGGGAGTACTCCACCTGGGTATACACCTGGCAGACCCACACCTGTGGCCAAAAGAAGGAGGAGCCATGAGCAGCAACCCTGCCTCCAGAAACCCCGCCTTGGCCCTTCCTTCCACAGCTCCAGGGCTCGCGAACCAGCCACCCCAGTGCCCGGCAGGGGCAGCCAGGGACACATGTGTGGTGGCCACAGCCTTCCTCCCATGAGTTTCAGAAGTCATCTGCAAACCCTTCTGCACGTGGATTTATCTTGTCTCCCGGAGCCTGTTTACATGGCCGGCCCAGCCCACCTCTGGGCTAACAGCTTCCAGATGTTCCCTCCCTGCTGTGTGGACTCAGGCAGGCTTTTGTTTAACCTGAAGTCACATCCTCGAGGGCTTGGTGCAGAGGAATGAGCACCAGATGGGGAGTCAAGGCACCTCGGGCCACCCTGGCTCTGCTGTGATCTCCAAGGGCTCTCGGCACTGACTCTCCATTCTAAGTCTCAGTGTCCCCATCTGTCACCTGAATATCTGCCACAGAGCCTGTCTCTGAGTTCTCTTTCTGTTCCAAGATCTGAAAGAAGGGCCCAGAAGGTAGGCTGGGGCCCCTCCCCCATTTCGAATAGGGCACCACACTTTGGGCCTGGCTCTCTTCCCTGCCCCGCTGCAGCCAGGCCCCCCTTTCCTGCCCAGTATGGAGGTGGGGGCCTCAGACCCTCCCTGACCCTGTTGTCCAATCCCAGGGACTCCGCACTGACCAGGCACTTTCCCAGGCTTTGCTCCAGCTCCAACTCCGACTCCTGCACCAGGCTGAGGCACGACTGCACCTGGCATGGGAGGGACTGCGTCAGAGTGCGTGTCACCAGGCCTTCAGCCTTCACCTGGGCAACTCGGGGCCAGCCACCATACCTGTAGACACTCCCAAGCCACCGACACCAAGTCCACCGACACCAAGGCCGCCGGCACCAAGGCCGCCGGCACCAAGGCCGCCGGCACCAAGGCCGCCGGCACCGCCAAGCCCAGCACCTACAGAGCCAGGGGTGGGAGAGGTGAGGAGTCACGCAGGGAGCAGCGGGAGGCAGGAGGGACCTGGGTGCGCATGGAGAGCCCAGAGTTGATATCTGATCCTGCTACCACTTCACTTAAAGACTGGTTTCCTTCCTGATCCCCAGTAGATTGGTGATGGGGATCCCACCTGCCTGGCTCCCAGGAAATGTTCTTTGTAAAGTGTAGAGCCCTTGGAGGCGAGAGAGTCTTGTGGTGTAAGAGTCACACTCACCAGCCTTGGCAGCAGCTTTATAGGCTGCAGCAGCACCAGCCCCTGCACCAGGCCCTAGAGCCCCGGGGAAGGCGCCTCCAGGAAAGGCCCCGAGCCCTGTGGAGGGAAGGATCCGGTGAAGTCCTGAGTGCACCCAGCCCTGCCCAGGAGGCTCGTGTACTCTCTGCAGGGCTTCCACACCACGGCCTCTGCCCCCAAGGCCAGGTTTGGTGTTGGAGAGCAATATGTGCCAGCTGATTTCACTCAGCTTGACCAAACTGCAGGGATCTTTTGGAGTCAAACTTTCACATCCCCTCTTCCAGGAAGCCTCCCTGAAGCCCTGCTGAGTCAAGCAACTCCTGGGAGCTCCATTGGCCCCTGCAGCCTCCTCCACCCAGCTCTTAGCATTAGGGTATAACAGCACTCAGCACACCACGGTGACTTCCTTGTGTCCTGGGCAGCTGCTTGGGGCAAGGGGTCTCAGTGTCACCCCCACACCAATGTCCAGGACTGGCCTAGCCCACACACCAGGCAGATGCCCTGGGCTTGGCTCTGTCCCCAAGATAGGCATCAGCTTGGTTATCAACACTAACCTGCCCCAGGGCCAGCTCCTGCGAGCCCTCCAGCACCTGCAGGGAGAAGGAGGCACAATCAGGTGAGGAGAAGAGAGACGGGTGTGTGGGCATCGTTCCTGGGTCCTGGGTAGAAAGGGTCTCATGAAGGCAGGAACCAGGCAGTGCTGGGTCAGTATATAGCCACTCAGCCCCTAAGCTGAATGCAAGCCTTTGGTACTCAGAGGCTGATTCTGATAACACAGCAGCTACCACTTAGCAACCAGCTGCTGTGTGCCATGTAGGTGTAATTGCACTGACCTCCCCACCCCACAGTGTACCTGGGCCAGAAGAACTTGCTTCCCCCAGAAGAACTTCTAACTAATGAGGGACTCAGCAGGGCTTTCTGTGAGGGTGAAAACTGAGTAGAGTCTGCCAGCAAGACCTCACCCACCCAGCCCTGCTCCCCTGGTAGCCCCCACCCAGACCTCTCTTCTACTTCCTTGCAGGTGTCTCCTGGCTCAGCCCATTTTCCCTCCCTTGCATCTGGAGACCCTTCTGTCCTCCACCATCTGTCTATCTGTCCATTCAGCCTGCCTGCAGTCCAGGAGCCTCCTCGATTTCAGACGGATGCTAAAATGTTTATGAGAAGTCAAATGGGTCCCTCTGGCTCTCTCCTTCCCACATCTGGGCCCAATCGCTCCTTTTCCCCCTCCAGGAGACATTCCATGGCTTTGGCCAAGGCTGACGGGCAATCGGGTTGGAGTTCACAAGCGTGCCGAGTTTGTTTCCAATTATGTGAGAATCTCTCCTGCAAGCGTCAGTCCTGGCTGCCAGGGTCCTGAGCCCAGGGAAGCCCTCTCTGGGGACTGACCCCAAACATGGGGGACTGCCAAGCCCTGGAGGGCCTACCTGGCTTTCACTGGGTGTGGTTCCCCTCCCCCCACTTATTTCCTACTTGTGTGAGTTGGCCCCATCTGAAACTCAGCCCGCCCTCTGTAAGATGGGTCTCTAACTCTGGCTGGTCTCCCTCCCAGGCAAGCTTGGTGTGGGTCAGGCCCGGCCTGGGGTATGCAGAGTTCACTTCCAGCACTATGGGCCCTGTCCCTCCCCGCTCTGTCAGGGGCTTCTTTCAAGCCAGGCCTGTTTCCTGAGCTCCAACAGAGCAGGGGACACACTTGCTGCGAGCTTTCCTGACCGCAGAGGGGCTGGGAGGAGAAGATGGGAACTGAACAGGAAGTGAGAAGAGGCTGGGGCAGGTGGGGTGGGAGCTGGCAACCTCTCTGCAGCCATCTGTCCTTGTCCCACACTCCTCCCTTGCTGCTGGGTCCCCACACCGCCCTCCAGCATGACCAGCCCACTCCTGTTTGCTCTCCTGCCTTCGGACTCACCTGGCCCAAATGCCCCAAGAAGTCCAGCCCCTGGAAAGGAGGAAAGCAGGGGTGAGATGCTGACCACGGCTGAGAACCCAGGGGCCTGGCCAGCCCAACCCTCTCCTTGGAATCTGAGGGCTCTGGATTCAAATACTGCTGCCCCTGCTGACTCTTTGCGTGTAGGCACAAGTCACGTCACATTTCTGAGACTCGGTTTCTCTACCTACAAAATGGCCATTGTGTCCCCGACCTTCCTGGGACCAGTGAGATCATGAGCAGAAAGCACCTAGTGTGTAAAATATGTCAGGATGCCCAGTGGGTGTGCCCTGCTCCTTCCGGTCCTCTTGCACGGGTGGCTGGCCTCCAGCTGATGCTGAGGGTGTGGGTGTTGCTGGCTCCCAGCTGCTTGGTCCCCCACTGAGAGCCCAGGCAGGGCCAGCCCTCCGAGGCCCACATGGAGCAGCTGCCAGGCCACCCACCCTCTACTTGCCAAGGGATTAATTGTTCCTGAGCACGACACACACTGCCCATGCCCGTTCTGTCTTGCCTGGGCAGGCCCGGACATCCCCATGGCCCGGATGATGTGGGGAGCTGCCCGGGGGAGGAAGGGGGACTGGGGCTTTGTCCAGGAGTTTGCAGCTCAGAGTCCGGAGGCTAAAAGATGACCTCAGGGAGGTTGTGGAATGTGGCCCCTTTTCATCAGGAGGCGATATCCTGACTGTTTTTGGTCTACTCCTTCTCTCTGACCTGAAAGTTCTTTTGGAAGTCTAAACTAAACCATGAATAGAAGCTTCACTCTAATGACCATCCATTATGGGACTCTGTGCGGTTTTCTCAGTCTTCCCTCCTGTGTTTTATCACAACCTGCCATGTGTCCCCTGCTGCCAATGGGACCAGCCAACCCCCACTCTAGCTTTGTAGTCACAACCTCCACAATGGGGTCTTCTTGGCTAAGCATGAACCTACGTCCATACCTTTGCTTATCTAGTTCTTCCCTACATTCCTACATCAAAGACCCTGGGAAGGTCCCTCCAAGGAGGCTGGATAGGCAATGAATTCCAAGGGCTCTGGCCTTGAGGATCCCCCAGATCCCAGGAAACCCCTTGCCCTAGCTTCCTGCCCTTTTGCCTCTGTCTGGCTTGGCCCCAGCCCTGGAGTTTCACAACCCAGATGGACTTGCAGGGAAGGGGAATCTGGGTTTTGCAGATTCATCTCCAATTGGATCATCCAGCAGCGGGGTTTCGTAAGAACTGTTGGACATCCAAGCTGTCCTGGAGCCTGGGGCTTCGGAGCAGGGTGGGGGGTGCCAAGGCCACATGTGGAGTATCTCACGCCAGTGGGGTCATAAATATGAACAGAGACACCATTTCCTCCACCTGCTCCTTATCCATCAATGCTTCCCGGAGGGACACACCCTCTCTCTTTCCCGGGGGTGTGTTCTTTGGAACTGGTGGTGGACCCTGGCGGCAGATTTGGCAAAGCCAGGGCAATATTGTCACATCTCCTTGGAAAACTCCATGGCATGGTCTGGACACAGCTAGAAGGGGCCTGGGATCAAGAAGAATGCTCATCTGGGGTCAGGGTCAGGGTCCAATCTGGAGTTAAGTTTAGGGCTTGATTTGGAGTCAGGATTCAGCCTGGGATTAGGATAAGGGCTCAGACTGTCATCAAGGTCAGGGATATCAAGGGTCTTGGCCTGAGGTTAGAGAAGACTTGGTCTGGAGTCAAGGGATCATCCAGGTGGAGTTTGGAGCTCATCATCTGTGTCTGAGTCCCAGAGTGACATTCACAGGCTTGGTGGCCACTGGAACATCAATTCCTACCTTTGCCCTGAGCACCAGGGCTGTTTCTGAGACCCTGTGCAGAGGGGCAGAGGGGACAAGGCAGCTGGGCACATAGGCACTTAAAGGGTAGATGCTGGACAGTCCTCACACAAGCTGCTGCTAACTTCCTGTCCCTGGAGCCCTGAGGCCTGGCCCCAGCCTGCTCATCCCTGGGGGACTGGTACTGCCCACCACTTCCTTCTTGCCTCTTTCCCAGTGACTCTCTTGCTAGGTCCACAGCTCTGTGCACCCCCAAGACCCCCTTCCTGCCCCCTAGCCCACTCTCAGTGCCCTAAGACCTCAGGTCTTACCTGGCTTGGGTGGTTTGCCTCCAGGCCCCAGTCCTGCAGAGGGAAGAGATGGTAGTGAATGGGGAGCTCCAGCCCACCTCTCTTACTATTTACCCCCCCCCCAGGGCAAACCAAGAGCATTGTGGGGTCAGGGACAGCCCTCCCTTGGGACAGAGAGCCACCGGGAGCCCAGTGTCTAGACATGTGGCGGGAAGCTCAGCTCCAGCCCAGATTTGTGGTTTTTACTCTCTCAGACTCAGTTTCTCAGCCTCGGAAGGGGACAGTGACACCTGCTCAGCCATCATTTCAGGGATGTTGTGGAGGATCAAAGAACTGTGAAAGAAGGCAGGGCCACCAGGCAACAAACCCAGGAGAGAGGCTTGGGAGGCCAGCGTGTTCCAGTTCTCAGATAAGTGTCTCCCCACTAGACACTGTATCTGTAAAACAAGGGGGCCCTTGATGCCTGGACCTTCCAGAGAGAGAGAGAGAGAGAGAGACCCTTGCATCAACCCATGATCAAATCTTCACTGCCTAGCTATATGACCTCAGGCAAACCTTAACTTTTGCGAGCCTCAGTTTCCTCGTTTGTCTCATCGTGCCAATAGCCCTGTGCTAGTTTGTGCCAGAGAGTGTGCTGGTAAATGCCCTCACTTCTAAGTCAGTTCTGAATACTCAAACACTTTTTTTTTTAATCCTCACCCAAGGATATTTTTCCATTTATCTTCAGATAGAGTGGGGGAGGGGAGAGAGAGAGAGAGAGAAACATCGACACGAGAGAGACATATTGACTGGCTGCTTCCCGAATGACCCCAACCAGGGCTGGGGACCGAACCACAACTGAGGTACTTGCCCTTGACCGGAACTGACCCTGCGACTTCAGTCTGCGGGTCGACGCTCTCACCGCTGGGCCAAACCGGCCGGGGCAAAAAAACCTTTTTAAGTATTGAAAATATTACTTTGATTTTTCTTTCTTTCTTTTTAATTAAAGACATTTTTTTATTCTTTATTGATTTTAGAGAGAAAGGAAGAGAGAGGGAGAGAGATAGAAACATCAATGAGAGAGAACATCAATTGGCCGCCTCCTGCATGCCCCCCACTGGGGATCTGGCCCAGAACTCAGGCATGTGCCCTGACCAGAAATCAAACTGGAGATTTCTTGGTGCATGGGTCGATGCTCAACCACTGAGCCACACCGGCTGGGCTGATTTTTCAATCTACTTTAAAGCATTATGCTTTTTTCTAAATTAAAAGAAAACATGGCCCCTGATGGCATTGCTTCAACGTTCTGCCCATTTGCTTTTGCTAAGGGGGCCTCCCAGTCTCCATCCACACATGGTCATTGATTTTATATTGTTTTTACTTGAAAAACACTCCACCATATTGCACAACAGATGACATTACTCTTTAGTAACTGGGTAATATTTCAGAGTCTACTTAATCACACCCTCCAGTCAGGTGGATTTCTTGTTTTACAGTTTTGCAAACACCACTCCTATGAATTTGTTGCAGATCATTCTTTTTCTCTTCTTTTCAATTATTTCCTTTAAATGGTTGGAAGACTGAATGGCAGGAAGGAAGTGAGAAGTTACCCACTTTCCTATAGCCTCAAAAATCATTGTTTCAGTCTGGCTGGTGTGGTTCAGTGGTTGAGGGTCGACCCATGCACCAAGAGGTCGCCGGTTTGATTCCCGGTCAGGACATATGCCCAGGCTGTGGGCCTGATCCCCAGTGCGGGGCATGCAGGAGGCGGCCAATCGATGTTCTGTCTCACTGATGTTTCTATCTCTCTCTCCCTCTCATTTCCTCTCTCTGTAAAATCAATAAAGAAAAATTAAAAATTAAAAAAATATCATTGTTTCATCTTTCAGAAGATTTACACTCTTAATAGTTGTAAAACAGTGTCACGGTAACGGCTTTTCTAAGTAGGAGTGACTTGTGGGTCCTCTGTGGTAGGTGTGACAACGTTCTTCCCTCCTACCATCAAAGTGTGCGTCTCTCACAAATATACTTACAATCTGCCTCACCTGGTGTGTGGGAGTTTCATGTGCATTACCTGGGAAGTAGCCTCCAGGAACTCCGCCGGGAACTCCTCCAGGAACTCCTCCGGGAAATACTCCAGGAACTCCCCCGGGAACTCCTCCGGGAAATCCTCCAGGAACAGCCCCTGGGACCCCTGGGAGGAAGTAGGTAGACTCCTCTGTTAACCAGAACTAATAAAAATATGGTAACAATAATGATAATAATATTGTATGTCCACAAAGCAATTTTTGTTTTCAAAGCTTTTTTTTTTTTTTTTCATTTATGCTCCACGAAAATGGCCCTGTGAGGTATGAAGGGCTGGGATTACTATCTTCATCTTAACAGAGATGAAATCAGGCACAGAGAAGTTAGGGGGCATGCCTGGGGTCACACAGCTGGGAAGAGATGGAGCCTGGATTCAAACTCAGGCAATTCCTCTCTCCCTGGAGAGGGCCTGGCACGAGGCTGGGTCTGAGCATCTTTCACTGGGCAGCCAACTCTCTCCAGCTCTGAGCAGCATGGGCAGGGACCAGGGTTGTGGGAGGCCAGGCCGGGCGGTAAGCAAGCAGTAAGGAAATGCGGCTGCTGCCAGCAAAAATGCAGCCATTCCCACACTGATAGGACAGCGTGAGGTCAGCGTCCTCAGCCACTGGGCAACAGTGGATGGGTGGGGTTCTGGCTGTCTGACACAGGGCTGTCTTAGGAGGCGCCGGGCCCCAGAGGGGGACACCATGAATGAGCAAAGTGAATAGTTTCCTAAGGAAAAGCTAATTCATTGGCCAGGCCAGGGCCTGTCTGCCCAGCCAAGATCACGAGTTCAGTCCCCACCGACCAGTGAAGCTCTCACTGGGGAACGCTATGATGCTGGGCCAAGACCCAGGCCTGGTCATGGCAACAGATGATCCTGGTGCAAACCAGGCCCTCACTCCACCACCACAGAATGGCCCCAACCTTGACAAGCCACCTTGCCGATGCCCCCGCTCAAGCCCCGGCACCACCCCGCTGAAAGGACATGGAGAGGGCTCAGGGACAGAGCTGGTCATCTCCACAGTATAACCAGAGGCCTCATGGACAGACATCTGGCCTCTGTGGCCTGGCGATGGTGCACAGCTGGACCTATTGGCCCCAGGGCCCTGTCAGCCTCAGCCACAGCCCAGCAGGGTAGGGGATGCCAAGCTGTCACAGCTACTCCTTGCCAAAGTCCTGGCGCCACCCCCCTCCCCCAGGGCCCACGGTCCCCCAGGAACTGCACTCCAGGCCTAGAGTGTGCAAGCAATCTGGTCAAAGCCTTGGGGGCTCAAAGTGGTGGCCCCGGGAGGGTGGGCCTGCTGGGAATGAGTGCTTCCGCCCTGTCATCGTTGCCAAGCACACACATGGCTCGCCTTGAGCCTTTGATGCCGTCCCTGGCTCTGGCCTCCAGCTCTGAACACTGCCTCTTATGTGCCTTTCCCGGGTGCACCCCAGGCCTTTCTCTGCCTTGGTCTCTCTCCCTCCTCTCTAGCTCCAGAGCAGACTGCAGGAGCAGTGTGGGGGGTGGAGGGAACAAGGGGCTGAGGACAGACCCATCTTCTTCTACTCTTGGCTGTGCCACTCCTTACCGTCTGTGTGACCTTGGGCAAGTCGCTTAACCCTTCTGAACCTCAGTTTCCTTTTCAGCTAGGTGGGGCTGATACTGCTGCTTTGCAAAGTTGTTGCAAGTTGTTAAAGGGTTCAAGTAAGAGACCTGCCCTGCCCTGGACCTGACACACACTAATTGCTCAAAAAAAAAAAAAGAAGTGGTAACGCCTTGCCTCCTCTTCGCTGTATAGCACATGGTCTGGGGCCAAGTAAACAGTAGGTGTTCAATAAATGATGGGTGAATTAGTTGTGGGGGAGGCAAGGATGCTTCCTGTGGGTCTGGGTCTGACCTGTTCTATACCCAACCAGCCTAGGGGTCTCCCACCTTGGGCTGGTCTAGCAGTTGGGTCTGCCTGAATCCCCACTTCCTCTCCTGGGGTTCTGCTCTCCCACACCTGCTTATGACCAGGCCCCTCCCTGACCTGTCAGCTCCCCCTCTGCTTCCTCTCTCCCCAGTATCTACCTGTCTCCTCTCCCTCCTCTCCATCCCATGATTCAGATCCCAACAGCATGTGCCAAGCTCCATGCCTGAACCATCCGTAGCCTGGGGAGCTACAGATTTTGATCCCCATTTTGCACTGAGGAAATAGAGAAGACTTAGTGGGTGTAAAGGGTACTCTGCCCTGCCTTCTCTTCAGGTTCAGGAGAGGTGAGGATATAAGACAGCAGTCAGCCAAGGGCCTTCAAAAGGCAGCAGTCACCTCTCATGCTTCAGCAGGTCATCTTCACTCCTTGGCCTGAGCAGTCCCTCCTGCCACAGATGCCTTCTCCTCTCTCCAAGTCCTACCCTTCCACCATGACCAAGCTCAGATGCTCCCTCCTGCCTTCTCTGAGCTGATTCTCACTGCTGAGCTGGCCCAAGCAGTTGGCCTGCAGCACGTTTGTCTTGTTTTATGTGGGCTTGGCTTGTTTCACCACCTAGTCCAGGGTGAACTTGTCTCTTGAATCTTAGAATCATGATCCTAGACTCTCAGGGATCATACTAGTCTTCTGGCTTGGTCTGAAATTCCTTCTGCAGACATCCCCTGGTGCTCTTGCTTGCATGCCTCCAGTGACAGGGAAATCACCATCTCCTGATGCTGTCAGCTCTACCTGCAAACAGGTCTTCCTCCTATCAAGAAAGAATCTGCCCCTCTATGTCTCGAATTCTGCCTCCCAGAGCCCCATAGGCCGAGGCTCACCTGTCATCCACGGATAGCTCCTCAAATATTGACCTTTCTTTAAAGGTCTAACTCAAATGTCACTTCTGCTGTGACACCTTCCTCGGTTTCCTGGGACTCCCCAGGCACCCCCTGCCTGAGTCCTGCCTGCTTTCTCCATCACTGCACTCTGCTCCCCACTAAACAAAACATGGCATGTGCCCAAGAGGGAAATTAAAGCTTAGAAATGTGTACTAATGACAAGGGCTGATCAGCCCAAGTTAGCAAATTCTGAATAAGAAGATACATCATTTAAAAAATTCACATTCCCACAGTCCTCTCATCTGATACGTTCTTGGCGGATGTTTCATTGCTGGAGCCTGCCAGCGGCCCTAGGGGACAGCAGGTAGGGCAGGGATGTTTCTCCCCATTTTACAGCCAGGGAAACCAAGAGCCAGTGAGATGAAGTGCCTGGCCGGGGACCTGCAGCTGAAGCCAGTCACACACAGGGCCCTCTGTCTGGGCCCTGGGCTCCAAGTTCAAAGATCTGGGAGAAGTCGTTTGGGAGCAAGCAGTAGGCCAGCGGTGCTTGGTAGGGGGCCCAAGTCCAAAGGGTCAGCCTGGGGAGCAGATAAGACCACACGAAGCTGTGTGTTGTTTGCATGGAGAAAGGCTGCCAAGAGTTTTTCAAAAACAATCTGTCCTCCAGTGGGTGACTCCAACCACGCCCCCCCCCCCCCCCAGTCCTGCCGGGCACGTCTACCCTCCTGCCTTGGTCTTAGTGGACTCAGAGAGCAAGATTAACCCCTAAGCCAGAGGTCCTTCACCCTAGAGGCTCATTAAAGTCACCTTTGACAAAACCTCCATATCAAAGTCCCTCCACAGACCAATTAAACAGCAATGCTTGGGTGGGACGTCCACATCAGAGTTGGTTCAAGTTCCCGGGAACTCCAACATGCAGCCAGGGTTGAAAATCCGGCTTCCAAAGCATCCTCAGTTCCGAAATAAAAAAAACCCTCACACTGATAATATTTCTGGGACAGGGGGAGATACCTGACTTAGGTATTTCTCTCTCTCTCTCTCTCTCTCTAAATGGTATGGGGTCTGGGGCAGCCAGTCCTCAGAGTTACTTTTGACCCATCCTGACTGGGTCTAGACAACCCTTTCCATTACAGAGTAAACTCGAAGAGCCTCATTCTTGCCTCCGCCGGCAACGTGGTTCTTTGGAACTGGGGAGCTCATGGGGTGACACTCTCTTGGGGTGGGGGGAAGCTGGGCTCCCCGAGGTCAGCCAGTCAGGCAGCTCTGTGTGTGTGTCTGTGTGTTTGTGTGTCTTCAGCCCCTCTCACTTCTTGACCTCTCTGGACTTTGGTAGGCTCTGGGCACAAACCCCTAAAGACCTCATCAATTTGCACACCCTTTGTCTGGACCCAGTTCTCTACCACCTGCGACAGAGCTGTGATTATGTTTGCAAGGAAAGAACAGGGCCAGCTGAGCATCTCCCGGTGTCACTGAGGGGACAAGGAGAGGGTGCATTCTGCCGTAGGGCGTGCCCACCCTAGAGGACTCAGCCCCAGGCCTGAACTTCCCCAAATGTTGCCTGGCCCTGGCCCCCACCCCCTTATCCTTTGGTCTAGGGCAGAGAGCTGGCTGGTACTAAAGCTCCTGGGGCTGCCTTAGCCTGCCCGAGCCTCAGTTTCCCCATTTGTAAAGTGAAGATGGTGATGAACTCTCAGGGTTAAGGTGATCCTGTGGGGCTTAACTGCACGCTCCAGGCAGGAGCTCTGGGAAGGCAGGTAGGTGTTCAGGAGCCACGCCTTGGAGGTGGGGGCGGCTCTCAGACAGCGGGTGGCAGGTCCTCTGGGCTGTCTCGTTCTCCCTGCTGGGCCCCACCTGATGGTGCGCACGTCCCTTAGCCCCCTCAGGTCCGGGAGCTGACGACTGTGCAGGAAGCCCCCATTCCCAGCAGTGCTGCCCAGACAGTCAATCTCACGGAAACAGCTGCTGCTCCTGTCCGGCGCCCTGCTCCAGCCCTCCTGCCGGGCCTGCCCCACCCCGTGCACCCCACCCCTGCACCCCACCACCGCTCTGGTTCCCACTGAAGGTCTGGTTCTCATGGCAAAGAGGACTCTCACAGGAGCCAGACCCCTCCCAGAGTACCCACCAAGCGGCTTGTGAACCTTTACCTCCCTTTTCCCATGGCCAGGAGCACCTTCAGGGGTCCCCGGCAGGTCACTCCCAGGGTCCCCCAAGGTGTGTAGCAGCGCCATGGGGATAACCTTGGGGCCTGCAGCAGGACACACCCTGGATGGTCCAGGACTGCCCCGAGGTCCATTCCAGCCTCTGCCAAGCGATGGACACTACCCAGCTTCCCTGTCCTCCCTGTGTTAACACACACACACAGACACACTTCACATGCACAGCCACATGCACAGTGACAATACACACCCAGTGGCACACCTGGGTACCAGGTCTCCCATTTACACAAGCCTGTCAGGTGGCAGACTTTTGCACATGCCAACAGGCACTTTCGCATGCCCTACAACCTTCTCCCCCGAACACACAAATACATACACACACACCCCCACACACATACACCTGGCCAGGGATGAACCTGTGAACAGACATTTATCCCAGAAAACTCCTCCACTACTCGGTGACGTATTTGGGCATATCTACCCACGCACACCTGTGCAGTAACATGCAGCACACTCATTCACACATGCCTGTGTATGCACGTGTACACACACATGCACATACACCTCACACATACGCTCAGAAGTCCCAGCCCTTCTCACAGGGACAGACCACAGCAGCAGCTTTCCAACCAGCAGCCCCATAATCAACTAGCCCTGACCTTCCTCAGAGGGGTCCCTGACTTCCCAGGGACAAGGAACCTGCTGAAGTCACACAGTTCACTTTGGCTGGCACGTGTGCCCTCTGGGCTGGGTCCGCAGGTGTGCAATCTGCCAGTGCCTGCAGACCCGGAGGGACTGGCCCTTCCCCAGCATGCTTCCAATGTCCCCGCGGGGAGAGCACTGGGGACAGAGCAGGGGCCCCTCGCTCATCTCAGGGCAGCAGACCCTGGGCACTGTTGGGACCACCCTGAACCGTGGGGTATCTATGTCACAGGTTCCACCTCAGCATGGGCTGGGTCCTGGGAGGGGCAGCTCCAAGGATCCAGTGGCTGCTGGGCTCCTGCCTGGGAACCCCTGGAGGATGCTGGGGGTGAAGGGCACCCTCTCATCTATTAGCCCAGACACCTGGCTGGGAGGCTGGAGGGCTTCGGCAGCTCCGGGAACAGGGTGAGGCCTACCTCCAGGCTGCGAGGGGTGGATGATGGACAGCAGGGGCAGGAGGACTCCAGGCCACAGGGCTGCAGCTGTCGGACCCGCCATCTCAGGGAGAAATGCCCCAGCCTGCTCTCCACGCCTCGTTTTATCCCCAAAGCGTAATTGCTGCCTCCTCGGCTGCGAGGGAAGAAGGGAGGGAGAGAGGGCGGGCAGGAGGGCCTGAGAAGGGGGAGGCCTGGGGGAGGGGGCTGCAGGGAGGGGGGCAATTACGAAAGGCCGGCTCACAAGCCTCCCAGGCTGGGTCTGAGTGGACTGGACTGTGGGCTTTTTTCCTTAAAACACATACTCGCTCACGCGTGCGCGCACACACACACACACGCACACACACACACACACAGAGTTTTCCCCATCTCTCTCCTGCTTTCCCTCTGTGGCTGTTCTCTCACTGCTGGCCCTGTTCCCGCCAGAAAGTGTGAGGGGGGCCTCTGCCAGGACAGCCCTCGGGAGAGGAAGCAGGAGGGAGGGCCCTGCAGCCCGGCCAAAAATCCAGCCCCAGCCAAGGCCTGAGTGGCCAGGCCCCCGCCCCTCCGGCTGGGCCCCGGGCCCAGTGTGGGGACACAGGCCAGCTGTCCCGCGCCTCTGCCCCCACCCTGGCCCTCCAGACTTCCCCAATACCCCCAGGAATGGCCAGAGACAGGCTCTGTTTAAATCTAGGGAAATGGGGTGTTGGGCAGGTCTGGGGGTTGGGGTCCAGGGCCAGTGTCCACAGAGGTTGAGGTTGCTACAGGCAGAACAGCCTGGAAGGTAAAATCATGTTGTTGTTGTATCCTGAGGCATGTGAGCACTGGAAGGGGGACCCTGACACACTACACAGCTCCATTCTGCAGGGGCTAAGGTCACAACCTCCTGCCTGAAGCTGGGGAGTGGGCAGTGGGGGTCTGGCAGGTCTGCTATCCATGTCTGCAGAGGCCTGGGGGCTGCACCAGGGGAATAACCTGGGAGCTAAAACCATGTTGGTGTTGTTTCCTGGGGGCATCTGGGGGACATGTGGGAGACCCTGACACACCACAGGGGTTCCATTTACATGGATCAAGGTCACAGTTTCACACATAGGCTTGTGCAGGCAACAGTGTCTGGCAAAGATCAGTTTAGATCCCCAAGATGCCCAATGGCAGAACAGAGGTTTGGGAAGCCCACCAAGACTGATAGGCGGCCCAGCCCCCCTTTATCACTTGGCCCACACCTGTCCCAACACTAAGCACTGGAGAACCCAGACCAGACGCAGGAGCTTCCAGACTGCGGGTTCTCTCCCTGCCCCAGAACGCCCAGGACCGACATACCTTGGGTGGCCAGGAGGGGGCGGCCCTGCGCTGAAACAGCTTGGACCGGCATTTCCAGAAGAACTGGGACGGCTCCCGCCTAACTGGGCAGGGTGAGAACACTGGGGATTTTTTTGGGGGGTGGAAGGGAAGACATTTGGGAGCCAGAGGGTAGGAGAGGTGATCTGGTGCTTGCCCTCATCACAGCCTGGGAGGGGAAAAGTTGAGCCACACAATCTGTGAGGTTCTCCCCACCTTCCCTCACCCAGATGGAGAATGAGGGGAGGACACAACCACAGCTTCAAGGGAAGAAGTTCAATGACCCCTCCTCCAGCCAGAAGCACCCCGGCAATCTGGAGGGCTTCCAGGGGCAGCCAAGAGTGGAGATGCCAATGGCAGGCACCGGATTAGGGGGGCCTAGGCCTCAGTTCTGGCTCTAGCACTTTCTAGTGGGGTCACCTCTTCATAGAGCTTCAGTTTCCTCATCTGTCAAATGGTCATTAATATCCCTACCTAGGAGGGTTGTTGCAAAGATAAATAAAATGTGGTCATATGTCTCTGTACTGTGCCTCCTAAATCCAAAAAGCTCTGTACTCATCTAGAGCTAGTACTGGAAACGGAGCCGCTGCTACCTTGAGCTCTGCAAACACCACTCCTGTCTGCAGTGTAGCTGTGAGGCTGGGCTCCCTCCTGGGCCACCTGGGGACCCTGGGCCATCGATCCCTCTTCCTGCTCTCGGGGTGGGCACCCCAGGAGTCTGGAAGGGGCGGGCATGCTGGGAGAACTGTCTTGCAGCTATGTTTGCATAGCAAGTGTGCAGCTCTTACTCCAGGGTGCGTGGTTTGGGGGTGCTTGGGGGTAGCTGATGGAGATCCTGAATCCGAGCCAGTCCTTGCTGGGGAGGTAGGGGCTACTCAGGGTCAGGGTTTGAGACTCAGTACCTGGATGTGCCTGCTGGCGGGGAGGGGAGACCGGAGGGTGCATCAGTATGCCTGCCCCTTCCCAGGAAGGGGGAAGGATGGGGTGCTGGGCCCCACTCCTTTCAGGGCAATGACGTGGGCAGGAACCGGCTTTCAGACTTACAAACCGCAGTCTGCTCAGAGTCTTTATTAATTCCAGGACCGGGAGAGAGGCTGGAGCCAGCTGGAGAGGGCTTGCTGTGGGGGGATCCAGGAGAGGTGTGGAGGGGCGCTTGCAGGGATAGACTTGAGCCTGCTGGGCGAGGCCTTTCTCTGCCAGACCAGGGCCAGTGTCCCGTCCCCCACCTGTGTTCCTTCTTCTTCTTAGCATCCCATGCTCATTGTAGGAACTCCATTAGCTTGTATCCAACAAGGCTCTGTGCACCTCCAAAGGGGGCCTCAGTTCAGAATCCAGCCCATTAAACTGATTATCCAGTGCAAAGTAGCCCAATGCATTCAATATCTAATGTAAGGACTAGGGGGTTACAGTTATCAACCAACTTTCATTCATTCACTTATACATTCAAGAAATCCAACAGTCCTCAGCTGCTCTGTGCCACCCTCCTGCATAACTGTATAGATTAAATAAGGTCATAAATGTAGAACTTCTCACAGAGGGCTGGGTAAGCCTGGCTTCACCATTATCGTTGAAAAGACTCATCTGCTGGGCATCCAGGTGAGTCACTGACAAGCAATCTCCGTCCTCAGCCCCTCCAAGTGCACCCGTTTAGGAGGGACAGAGCCACCAGCCTCCACACAGCTCTGACTATGTCATTGCTTTGCTCAGAAACCCTCAGTCGCCTTCTGCATAAAGTCCAGACTTCTGAGAATGGCCTTCAAGACTTGCACGACCCAGCTCAACTTCTCTGTTCCTCTTCTTCCTCCTGGCTGGCTGGCCTCCTTTCCGGCTAGTGTAGCTGCTCCCCAGCTCCCAGGCTTGTCCTGGAAGGTTGGACGCTGGTCCATTGTTGTCGCGGTTCCCTGGTCTCAGCTTCTCTCCCTGCAGGTCTATGCCCTCAGCATCCTTTCCCTCTGGATCTCTCTGAGGGTTCTTGGTGCTGGCACCCAGAAATGCTCGGTGCTTCGTCTTATCTCCTACTGGCTTGACCGTCACTGAAGCCAGCTAGAGGGTGGAATTATTTCTGTCTCCCTGTCGTCCAAGAGTTGCAGATAATAAGCAAAGATGTGCTCTTTAGGAGATGGGAACAGACCTCCAGAATCCTGGGGGTGCAGTTTTGTTTTCTCCCTTGTCTACACGTGGTCCTTTTATCCACTGAGTGCAGGATACCCCATTTGCATGGGACCCTGGACCAGAGAGGGACATGAGCGCAGGCTGCCTGGCTAGTCTGGGAAGAGCTTGATGTCAGCCAGACCCAAGACCCTGCTGTGCTCCCTCCAGGTGCGGGAATCTCTGCTGTCAGTCATTTATACCTCTGCGTGAGTGAGCGGGGAACGTGAATTTCTCGTATGGACCCAAGTGAGGTTCGGGACAGATATGAATGTTGATTGGGTAGCATGGGTTCGAGTGTAAATACTCCAGGAGAGAATCAGCAGCAAAGTAGAGGGAAGGGTCCCTTCACACCTTCCCCCAACCTACCTGCCGTCATCCATGAGACTCAACTACAGACATTAAGAGAAGGCCAGAACCTTCTCCTCTGACTTAACATTTTCTAGTAGTCATATAACAAAGAAAGAAAAGATAAGTACAATTAATTTTAGTAATGTTATATTTAACCCAATACATCTAAAATATTATCATTTGAACATATAATTGATATGGAAATGATTAATTAGATGTTTCACATTTTTTTTGGACTAAGTCTTAAAACTGGTAAGTTACACTTAGAACACATCTCGGTTGGACTAGTCACATTCCAACTGCTCAGAAGGCACAGGTGGCCAGTGGCCACCGGAGTGGACGGCACAGGTTGAGATCACGAGGGGACTGGTAAGGATAACCTGACTTAGGACAAACGAGGAGGGAACACTAAATGGTGGTTTCGGCTGCTCAAAGGTTACAGGTAAGATGGGACACGAGGGAGGGAGAGAGCCAGGGAAGGAGGGACGTCCTTGAGAGCTGGCAGGGAAAGACCTGGGCGCACCCACAACAGGCAGCCCCAGGGGAGAGCCCTGCCCTCACGCCGGTGACCAAGCCAGAGAGGTACCGCCTCCTGAAGGGTACCAGACAGCCTCGGCCCAGGGCCAACACTTGGGCTAGAAAAAGAGAAAGGCCTCTGCAGCTCATGTCTCCCCGAGGCAGCCGGGGACCCCTCTGACAGCAAGAAGCCAGGAAAGGAAGGGACCTGCAACCAGACAGGTATCAGACTTCACTGGAGGTAAAGGGTCTGCAGCTGAAAATGGATGGGATGCTGCTGGTCTGGGCCACTTGAATCTCACTTCATCGTGCAGGACTGACTTGAGGGAACAGGCTGTGCCTGGGGAGGGGTTTAGAAGTTGAGATGGGGGGCCGGAATTCCAGTACAGGCTGCTTCTGCACCCCCCAGCTGGGGTGCTGGGAGCAGAGTGGGAGGGCGGGGGTGTGCAGAGGGAGCCAGCGGTCCTCCTTGTGATGGGGATTAACAACGATTAGCATAATTAGCAGGTCACCTAGTCATACCTGATAATGGTGATGTAAACAGTAATTAACCTAGGGAAGTCCCGTTTCCTCTTATGGAGACAGTTTTCACAAGCCTTCAAGATTGAAGGCGCATGTCTTAAAAGACTGGTACACAGCGAGTGCTCAAAGGTGGGATGGGGTCCATGATACCATCTCAGGCAACTGAAGCAAATGAGGCCAGGCGAGAGGGGAGGAAGCACCTCCCACAAGTACCAGCCCC